CATGAAGTGATATTTTTCCCAATTCACCACGAGATCGGCCTCCTCACATCGCTTGAGTACCTTTGCCAGATTACCGAAGCATTTCTCAAAGTGATCTCTAGAAACGGAGAAGTCATCCATAAATATTTCTAAAAAATCCTCAACCATGTCAAAATAAATAGCTTGCATGCATAGTTGAAAGGTTGTCGGGGTATTATAGAGTCCAAAAGGCATCATTCGGAAATCATAAGTGCAATAGGGACACGTAAATGTAGTCTTTTCCTGGTTCTCTCGTGCAATGGAGCAGTAAAATCCCTTGCCAGCTAGTCGATCCAAAATTTAATCGATGAAAAGCAAAGGGAAATGGTCCTTTTTGGTGGCCTTATTTAGTTTACGGTAGTCCATGCATATTCGCCACCCGGTGACGGTGCATGTTGGTAACAACTCATTTCCCTCACTTGTCACTACGATCATGGCTCTCTTCTTTAGCACACGTTGGACTGGACTCACCCAAAAACTATTAGAGATGAGGTAAATCACTTCAATATCAAGCCATTTGTGAATTTCTTTCATTATGCCTTTCTTCATGATTGGGTTTAATCTTCTTTGTGGTTCTATGGATTAGCCATGGAATCCTTTCAGCAAGATTGTGTGCATGCAAATGGTGGGAATCATCCCCTTCAGATCCGCCATAGTCAATCCTAACGCTTTCTTATACTGTGACAAAACACTTAACAAACTAAATTCTTGGTTAGGAATAAGGGCAGATGAAATAATAACATGTAAACTTTTATTACTACCCATATAAGCATATTTAAGATGTTGTGGCAAATTCTTTAACTCTAAGATAGGTGCATGCTATAATGAGGGCTTAGGAGGAACAAGCTCATCGAAATCAAGAGGTTCAAAACATGTACCTGGGATAGCTATGATGTAGCTAGCCCGTTGCACCTCCAAAGAAAAGTCATTGGGCTTCTCGATACTTTCTTCTTCAGTAAGCCTCTCATAAATTTCCAGTTGAATGATATTGTCATGCTAAAATTGATCAACTTCTCCTTCTATCAATGAATCCACTTCGAAAATGATATGGCATTCTTCAGACTCATCCATGTACTTGAGAGTATAAAAACATTTACAGTGACACATTGGTCGGTCACTCTCATGGTAAGCTCACCCTTTTCGTAGTCGTTAAGAATATGCCCGATAGTTAGGAAGGGTCTCCCCAAGATTATGGGTGTCGAGAAATCAACCTCGCAATCTAGTATAGGAAAGTCTACTAGAAACACAAAATTTACCACCTTTACAATGACATCCTCGACTTGTCCCTCGGGATGAACATAGGAGCAGTCAGCTAGTTACAAGATAATAGAGGTGGGTATAGCATTTCCTATTCCAAGCTTCACAAAGATTGACTTAGGCATTAAGCTCACACTTAAGCCAAGGTCACATAGTGCCTTCCCAACATAATTTTCTCTTATTGAACATGGAATGATAAAGCTGCCTGGATCTTATCGCTTTGGCGGCAGCTTGCTTAAGGCAGACTAGTATGCTTTTGCCGTGGTTACTGTCTCGTACTTCTCAGTTTTTCTTTTCTTGGTAACAATCTTTGAATAATTTAGCATATATTGGCAATTGTTCTTTAGTTTCAAGAAAATGGACATTGATTTGAAGTTGGTCCAGAATTTCGACAATATTCTTGAATTGAATATTATCATTATGCTTCTTCAGTCTTTATGGGAAATGAGGTGGGGGTCTGACTTCCTTTAATAAAGGGATGTGAACAACATTTGTGGTGGCATTTGTGTTTGCTCACTATTTGTGTTTGCTCACTCAATTTTTTTACTAGATGAACCCTCATCCTTATCATCTTCCACTTACATTTCTTCTGGCCTTTCACACTTAGCTTGCACGGTTACAGGGGGTAAATCATTCTTCGGTCTTCCCCCAAACTTCTCTTGAACATTAATTTGGGTGACACTTCGTAGAGTGAGTACATTGTATTACTCTTCGCTATGAGGTTTTGTGACTTCAGTGTCACTCGACAGACGACCTGGTTGACGTTCTTATAATGGTACAATAATTTGACCGACCTGACTCTCCAACGCCCTTAGAGATGAGATATGGCTTTGAAGCAAAGCTCCTTGGTTTTTATAGAGGTCGCATGGTCATGCAGCATGGTCTTCATTGTTGCTATAATAGCTTGCATTGTGGCCTCCAAAGAACTTGTGTTAGATGAAGATGACACTCCATTATTAGAATTATGCCATGGCATATTAGTTTAAAAACCTTGGGATTCATTGAAATTCTTCTGTCGAACAGACTGACTAGCATTGATGGTTCCTTGATTTCTCTACGAGAAGTTTGGATGTTGACCCGTCCAGGATTATAGGTGTTAGAATAGGGGTTGTTGTTGCCTCAATTTTAATTTCCTACATAATTAATGGATTCCTGATTGGTCGGGCACTCGTTCTCATGGTGATTGCCATATCATAATAAACATGCTAAATTGGCTACCTTCACTTCTTTCACCTCACTTGATCTTTACAAATTCTTTAATATATTAGTGATAGCAGCAAGTTGGGCGAACACATAATCTTTAGAGTCTAGCTCGATTGCTCTATGTGATTTTCGCCCAATTCCAACCCTTGTAGATGGGAATTGATAATCATTATCAGTAATCTTTTCCAGAATGTCGAATACCTCTACAAGTGATTTATGGATCAATGTACCATTTGTCGAGGTATCTACCAACATCCTTGTGGGCGTATTTACTCCGTTATAGAACATTACCACTTGATTCCAATCTTGAAAACCATGATTTGGACATTTGCGAAGAAATCCTTTATACCGATCCCAGTAGTCATACATTGATTCATCATCAGCTTGACGAAAAGTAGCGATGTCGTTCCTCAATTAGGTGTTTATGTTTGGTGGATTATACTGCAACAAATATTTTTTGCACAGATCAGTCTAAGACTTCATCGAACCTGCTGGAACACCACTCAACCAAGCCCTTGCTCGGTCACGTAGAGAATATGGAAATAACTTTAACTTTAATACATCTTCGTGCACTTCTTGTTGACAGAAAAAATTGCACACCTCTAAGAAGTTATGAATATGTTGTCTGACATCTTCATTTGGCATGCCTCCAAATTACCCTATATAATTTAGCATATTGAATATGACAGGTTTAAGCTTGAAATGGGATGCCTGAATCTAAGGTGCCACAGTTCATGGATTTAAGTCATCCAAGATAGGATTTAAGTGATCATGAATGACACGAGGTCTGGTTGCATTCCCAGCATTTAGAATTGGCTCGACATTCTGATCTTCCTTATGAACAATTCCTTGATTTCCAATTTGATACAAGTTTGCACATTGAGCACGTCTTCTTTTCCTAAACAACCTCTTGATCTCAGGTTCAGTTGGTTCTAATGTCTCGTCAAAGTGTCTTCTGGTCATACACCAAGAAAAACTTGAAAAAGATAAGGAAAATAACAAGTAAAAATGTATATAAAAAATGAAAAAATAAAATAAAAATGCTATGAAAAAACTAATTAACTTCCAGTTGCCAATCCCCAGCAACGACGCCAAAAACTTGTCCGCGAATTATGACTACTAAATATGGTCGCGAAATATGTGCAAGTATACACATTCGAACAAGTAATACAGTGATGAGTGAGTATCGTATTTGTGGGGATTAGAGGAAATTTCTAAGCTCAATCACAGTAATTTACTATTTCACCTAAGTATAATTAGTAATGGTATATACAAATGATAATGTTGTGGCAAAATGAAATGGATGTTGGTGGGAATGGAATGATGGGGTAATGTAATATGGTAACAAATGAAAATGTCATGGCAAAGTGGTTGGAAATGTCTTGGCAAAATTAAATTGAGTGTAGTGGAATCAATTGAAAATGTAAAGGCAAAACTAAATGTAAACATTGGATTTGATTATAATGACTTTAGACTCCTCACACAACAAGCTACAACGGGAAGGAATGATAGGAGTCACTTAGGAAACTTAAGTCTACTTCTCAGGATGATCTTACTTCTATGACTTATTTGCCTGATTGAGTTTACTAAGGGTGCCCTATGCTATCTCTAGTCAAGGGACTCGACAGGTTCAGGATGCCATGGAAAAACCTATTGGCGTTAGCTAGTACAGGGATCCTATTGGTTCAGATAATAGAATATGTCACGGAAATACCACTTAGTGGCAGCTCTAGAATCTAACCTCTCGATCGAGCACTACTCATTTTAGTCGATTAAAATCCTAACCTTATGTCAAATGTTGGATTAGGCCTAGTTACTATCTAGAACTCCTTGCTTATGTGGATCCTCCCTAGTTTTTCTCGAAAAGGATATGCTACTTAGTCATTCTCTCAAACACTAAGCAATCTCCTAAGGAATGACTACTTTCAAATCTCCTACAACCTTAAGGCATTAAAAATCATAAACAAAACAATTAACAACATACAAAAACAACTATCCATTAAAATAAAACTTAAATATCCATAAAGAACTCCCACCAAGTAAGACTAGTTCATGGTGGGGTTCAAATATTCCAAGAAACAGGGCATGAAATTAATTCGTTCCACACAACCCAAATAAGACAAAAGAGAGAAAACAACAAAGGAAAGGAGGAAAAGCCTTCGACGTGCACTACAGGAGCTCCCTTCAGCCACCACGAGCTGCTCCAGCCCGCTAGCTCCTCTTGGATGCCTAGCTCGCCACTCCCTCTAGCTTGTTATGGAGGAATACCATCATGTGTAAAGTCTCTTTTCTTTTGGTGGCTTCATCTCCTATTTATAGGATGATAATAAACCAAGGAATTTGTGTTAAAATTCCTAGGATACCCCGATCAGGTTCCTTTCACGTGAGGGGGTGAGCAGTTGTGATAATGGTCCCCTCCAGGGCAGCTGGATGTGGTCCCCTCCTGGGCAGCTTGCAGTTGGGCGTGGTCCCCTCTTGGGCAGCTTGCAGCTGGGTGTGGTCCCGACAGAATCAGTCGACCCAGGTGGTAGATGTTCCCTCCTAGGTGACTAGCAGTTGAGCGCACGTGAAGACAAAGACAACTGGCTCTTGAAAAAAATCATCTTTCATCTTTTCCGCTTCCAAAATGTTGTCCGAGTTGGCATTTGCATTCTGCTCAGGAGTCTCATCATGTGATGACAATTCCCTTTTGCTTACCCCTTCTCCCAAATCTTACACATCATAAAGCAAAACACTTCCCCATAAAGCAACATCGTTTACAAAATAAAATGTCTTGACAAAATATATTTCCACCACATGCAACTATATGCTCCTAAATACATCTATATGATCCTATATGAGCTCTTAGACAATTAATAACTTAAGTGAAAAGATTCTAAATATAGCCTTTTCGCAGAGTTATCAACAATCTCCACATTTTAATATATTTTAATTATTTATTCAAGCTGCAAAAAAGTAAATCCCTCTTTTAATATATAAGTTTTTTAACAAATTTGAAAATCATGGCCACTTCCACGTACGAAATTCACTAAACCAACCCTCCACATATGGGTTATCACTCCCATTTACTCTGTTTACAATTTCATCAAGATCGAGCTTTGATAATAGAATACCTTACCAATTCATTCATGTAAATATCTAAACTCTCAAAAGCTTTCACAATAATTTAAAGAATGTTAGTTGAAGCTAATTAAAGTAATATTACGATCTAATTCGGTCAAACATCTGCCACACACACACATACATATGTATTTATATTTTGCAATAGTTGAAGGAAATTTAATGCACAATTTGTGGTGGATGTTAACTTCCCTACATTTCTTATTGATGTCCATCATCACATTTGTTAGTGGTATAACGAATTGCTTCTAAATTGTTGGAAAATAATTCTGCTACAAAAAAATCGTTAGCATCGACTATCAAATAATAATCAATTAATGACGGAAATAGATCGATTTACTGTGTCGTGGTATGGAAGTCACTGTCTTATAAGCAATTTTGTTCAGATTGATGTAATCTCGGAAGTTAACGTTGCCTCTCAAGGTTAACATAGTCTTCATAACCTTGTTCACCTGAAGTGAGAAAGTAGAACCCACTTGTACTGCTCTCTTCGATCATAAATTTTCCAAGAAGAAAATATAGAAGCCATCAATTGTATGTAAAATTAGGGAGAAACATATCCATTTTATATGAGTGGTAAAGGTATAAAATTGTCAATTGTCAATTATACACTCTAACCACATCCTAAAAATAGATAATCAATTCCCTAAAAATATCCCTTTATATTTGCATTACCAACATAGGTAACTACCAACAATTGAGTCAATGATATTGAATCATGGTGTGAAGTTGAAGATCAACAAGATGAAAAAAGAACAAGTACGACAATAGCTTACAAATGATGTGATACTCCAAGTGTTTGCGTTTTGGACTCTATAAGAGTTGTTATATGGTTAAGTTAGCAAACAACTATAATGTAAATTAGTAACACTTTACATCAATCACTAACCCAAATGTTTTCATTTATTGATCGTTTTGGGTCAAATTATTTAGCTAATTCTATGTGCTTAGTGATGACATTTCTATGTTGGTATTTTTTCCTCATTGTATAGTTCATGGTTGTCTTGTTAGTTTAAAGTTTTCTATGGAAACTATTGCTAGTTTTATATCTGCAATTATTAATATGATTATTCCTGTCAAATAAATAGTTGTATGTCATGTTGGTTGTTAATCACTCGAGTAAGCAGGAAAAGAACTGAAAATGTGCATAAATATAATCATAGCTACTCTTATTCTTGGATGTTGTTTTCTTGAATTTGGTCATAGTTTAGTGATTTAGTAAGATTCAAAGATTATTAACACAAGTTCAATTTGCATAATTTTTGTAACCCTCTATACTCGACCTTAGAGGAATTAGGTCAAATCTAGAAGGCTCATTAACTTATCTCCAAAAACTTGCCCAAATGTTATTTAAAATGCTTTAAAATTAACCCTCACATTTATTGATTTCAAATACTTTAAGTAATCAAAATAAATGAAATAATAATTTTAACATGTACAAAATGTATATCAAATCCCAAGATTAAAGTCCACAATCCAAAATAGAATTTATGATCAATGTTTTAAAATATTTAAACATATTAAATACTATATAATAAAATATTAAAAATTGAAAATCTGAGAAATTTTATCATATTATGAAAATAATGAAATCTGAATAATTGTCGAACTCCAAGTACCAATTTCAATCTTAGGTTTTATTTCTTGTAGATAGTTCTTTATGGCACCACATAGGAGTTCTCGTTTAGCAACTCGTCGAGGTCGTACCTCTATAGCTAGAGTTAATCCTCCAACACCTATAGGTCATACCCAAAACCCGAATCAAACTAGTGAGACCAATAGAGATGAGCAACTTGTGAATCAGATGGAAGTTTGTTGGGCTGGGAGTGAAAACTCACATGCATACCAGACTTAAAGTGAGTGAACATTTAGTATTTTTTGCACGTTTAGTTATGTCGTTAATTTTAGAATATTCTAGTGATTATTTAAATTAATTCATAGGAACTAATTTGGATCGAACCATTACTCGAGTTGATCGTGATAGGCGCTACGTCTGACTTTAGTTATTTTGTCGAGGTGTGTCTCTCACCGATGCTATATTAAATTATGTGTTTGTTTGATTGTTTGGTAAGCACGGTGAATTGTGAGATTGACTATTCTGTGATATCGACTTAAATTGTGTACATTAAATGTCATGTGTGGTATGTTGATATGTCAAATTCGGAATATATGTTATTGCATTCAAAATATCTTATTATTATGATCTGTTAGACATAAATTGTGTTATGTGTAATATGTTATTTATCGGATTCAGATTATGTTATATGCTCAAACTTTATGATCATGTAATTGCATTCTTATTCGAATTAGATCAGAATTCGGATATACGATATTCGAATATGTGTTATTCATATATATGTTATGTGGATCAGATTGGATTTTGGATATGATATCATAATGGCACATAACATAATCTAAATAATACATATTCGAATATCGTATATCCAAATAACACATATCCATGTTAAGGAGGGGATAATTGTAACACCCCAATAAATCACCAAATCAAAAACCCTAAAATTTGGGAAATTTTAACCTAAATTCCTAATTTGAAATTTTAACCTAAATTGCAATATTTGGAAACTTGGTGGCTAAAATCGTGAACCCTAAAAAGTCCAACAGTTCGCCCTACAATCAATCCATTTTTATTTTAATTCAACTTCACCCCGACTATTTCTACTTCGCGCAGTGTATCCCTCTTTCTTTTTCCCCCAAAACCTTAGCGTCGCCTCGCCTTATTCCGTCGTCATCATCGCCGTTTTGTCATCCGATCATTCAGGTAAGGTCTTCATCCGTCGTGCTGGCACCTCGGTAGCTCCCCGTTGCTCGCCGTTAACGTTAGATGGCTCGGGGCGATGAAACCCGCGGGCCTTACTTGTTTTCATCACCGTTGGTGGCCTCACGTCGACCGTGGCCGTGGGAGGGTTGGAGCTTCATTGGGAAAGTCCTGGTTGGTATGGGTCGCGGTCGGCGGCTTCGGTTGTCCGTGAAAACCCCTTTTCGGTCGGTGATGTTTCTACCGTTTCTCCTTCTCTCCGTTAGCACCGCCGCTGACCAATGGTGGCCATGGCATGGTCGGCCATGACATCCCCGACCCTCTGGGACCATCGTCGGTGAACCCTTAACGCCAGCAGCCCTCTGTTTCAATACCGACAGAATCTATATTCGAACGGAAACCCCCGCTGCCCGTTTCCGTTTCGAATCGAAAAATTATTATTTTTCATCATTAAATTTATTATGGAATATTTGGGCTTTTTGGCATTAATTCGAGCGTCGAAAATTTATGTAGGACATACTGAACCGGGAATCGAGTTACAACCACCGCCTTCGTTACCATCGAACTTCGAACCAACTCAAATTGCAAGTGTTGACCGTGAGCAAATATAGTATTATTTCTAACGCATTTAGTTTTGTTAAATTCTAGATTAATTTAGTAATTATTATTTCGTAGATTTTGATTCGGGTCTTTCTTTTGCTCGGACTAACCGTAATAGAGGTTTTTACCGTTGTTAGCGTAGTCGAGGTGTGTCCCTTATTCGTGCTAAATTTATTGGTTAAAATGTGTGAATTATTTGATTGATTCATAAAATTATTGTGAGCATGTTAATTGTGGAACTGATTGTATATCTGTATTTAGAAATTATGACTTGTGAGTTTGTGAGCCTGTTGAAATTAGAATTATGTATTCATAATAATTGTTTGATTGTGATGAATTGTTGGAATTGAATGCCTTAGAATATATATATGTTTCGGATTTAGTAAATGCTTCAAAAATATTATTATTGGGCTCAGATCGGACTTTGGTTATTATGTCATTTTGCATTCATATTGAGATGATTTTTTGATAGGAGAATTCGGGTGAATATCACTTTTCAAATTCAGTGGCATCTGCCTTTGTGGTGGACCCTACACACATGGTGAGATTGATTGGTATATAATGTGGTTCTGGTGAACCCCACTTTTATGGGTTAAATCGATGTATGAGTGGGTGCATGTGCATCTACATAACATTTTAATTGTCATGTTTATTGATGATTCAATATGTTTTGGATTATGCTTGAACATGCTTATATATGCACTTTAGGGATATACTAAACCTCGTTGCTTACTCTCCTTAGTCTCTTATTTCAAATACTCAAACTTAGGAGACTGGGTACTTGGGGCTCGATATTATTCAAATTTCATTATTTTTATAGTATGACAATTTTCTCAAATTTTCTATTTTAATAGATAGTATTTAATATGTTTAAATATTTTGAAACATTGGACATAAATTCTGTTTTAGATTGTAGACTTAAAGCTTGAGATTTGATATACATTTTATTCATGTTAAATTATTATTTCATTTATTTTGATTACTTAAAGTATTTGAATTCAATAAATGTGAGGGTTACTTTTAAAATATTTTTAAATAATGCTTGGGCGAGTTTTCGAAGACATGTTAGTGGGCCTCTTGGATCCGACCTAATCCACCCTAAGTCAGGTAAAGAGTGTTACATTTAATGGTATCAGAGTCTGATTCAACCCTTGGACTGTGGTTCGATCACAAATTTTTAATCGAACAATTATTTTTGGTTACATAAAATATTTTTGATTTAAAATGAGAATCTCTAGAAATATTATTAATTTTTATTATTTTTTCGAATATTTTGTTTTATAAAATATTTAATTTTGGAAACTCCAAGTATCAACTTTAATCTTAGATTTTGTTTTTTGTAGATAGTTCTTTATGACACCACATAGGAGTTTTCGTTTAGCAACTCGTCGTGGTCGTACCTCTACGGTTAGAGTTAATCCTCCACCACTTGTGGGTTAGACCTCCGAATCATGCTAATGAGACTGAGAAAGATGAGCAACCTGTGAACCAGACAAAAGTTTTTCGGGCTGGGAATGAAAACTCACCCGCAGACCAAACTCAAAGTGAGCGAACATTTAGTAACTTTTGCACGTTTATGTCGAACCACTATTTGATCATGATAGGTGCTACTTCCGACGTTAGCTACTTTGTCGAGGTGTGTTTGTGATCGGTGTTATATTAAATCTTGTGTTTATTTGATTGTTTGGTATGTACGGTGAATTGTGAGATTGACTCTTCTGTGATATCAACTGAAATTGTATACATTAAATGTCATGTGTGGTATGTTGATATGTCAGATTCAAAATATATGTTATTGCGTTCAGAATATCTTATTATTTTGATTTGTTAGACATAAACCGTGTTATGTGTAAAATGTTATTTATCGGATTTAGATTATGCTATGTGCTTGGACTCTGGGATCAGGTAATTGCATTCTTAGTCAGATTATATCGAAATTTGTATATACCATATTCGAATATGCGTTATTTGGATCAGATCGAATTCTGGATATGATATGCAAATGGCACATAGCATAAACCGAATAACACATAACTCTGAGGCAAACACTTGAAATAAGCCATAAATATATACTTCAACACTTGAAATTGGTTTGTTGGTTCAATTTAGTCCTTAAGCCATGAATAAAAAAAAAGGGTAAATATATACTTCAACACTTGAAATTGGTTTGTTGGTTCACTTTAGAACTTATGTTTTTCTTCTTTATTGCATATACGAACTTTCATTTCGTTATACAAAATTTTCAAAATATAAATTAAAGTTCAAATAGATACTTAAACTTGAATTTTTAAATTTGAAATAAAAAATATATATTTGAATTAACTACGAGTATTAAAATTATTAACTACTCGAGATTAAGTTATTTAGAGATTCAATATAGATGCGATCATCCCAATTCATTTAGCTGCATTTTTAAATGTCACGATTTAAATTTATGATCTTAAGAAATCTAATACATTATCTTACTAGTTCAACTTGTTGGTATAAAAAAAATGAATAGAGATAACATTAAGGATTGTGCTTAATTTTATATAAAGCAAATTGGGCTGGTTTAAACCCAATCGAAGTTGAATTGGAATTAAAGCCCAAAGAACCTACAAAATGTCTAAGATTCTTCTTCATGACGCAAAACAAACCTTAGATTTATGGCCGCTAATCATCAGCCCTAGCTACCAATTAAATATCTCTATCTTTCAACCAATTTTCCCACTCTCTTTTGCTCTCTCTCCCTCTTCACCTTTTTCTTTTATAAGAACTCTCCCTCTTCACCTCTTTGTCTGTGTTTTTACATCCTCTTTCGTGTGTTTTTAGGGTTCCTCAATTTCGTACAGTCATTTTATATTTTGTTTTCTTTCTTGCGTTTTCCCCTTTGGATCTGGATCTGCGATTTTTTTTTTATTAAAAAAGGGTTTCAAATGGATACTCGTAAAAGAGGAAGGCGTGAAGCTGGGTTCAACGTTAATGGTGGCATAAAGAAATCTAAGCCAGGTTCGCCCCCCTTTTTTCACTCTGAAATTGAAATATATGGTCTTTGTTTGTGCTAATAATTACAAGCTTGGGTAAGTGTTAATATTAGAAGTGATTAATTAGATAATTACTAGTAATGAAAATTGATTAAAAGCTTTTATGTATAATTAATAACGTTGAATTTTTTGGGGATAATTCCGATAAAAAAATAAACTGTAACTGAGAAAAAGTAATTAATTAATGTTGTGCGACAGAATTGGAATCTTTACCTGGTGTAGGAAGCAAATCGAAGCCATGCACCAAGTTTTTCAGGTTGAAATTCTTATGCCCACCTAAATAAATATTGGTGTTCTCCAATTTAAATTCCATCTCTTTCTAATGCTTAGTTTTAAAAAAGTAACTTTATAATTTGTTAATATTAATATTTAAAAATTTGCGATTTTGCTAATCAAATGTGGGTATTGAGTTATGACAGGTACGTTACTGTTGTTTGATCATAGTCAAGTTAAAGAATAACAGAGATTGGCCTCATTTATAACAATATTGCTGGAGTGAATTGGTGAAAAGGCAAATAATATCAAAGATGTATCATTGCTTACAAGTTATAAACTGTACCTAAGATTGAATTAAATTGTAAAAGTTTCAAAATCGGCACAGTTATCGAGTCCGTTGGTAGGTTACTCTTATAAATCGAAGTACAATGAAATCCAGGTATGATGTTTTCATGTGAAAAATTTGTCATAGGAGCTCCTTTTTAAGTTCTTTGATTATTCGCATTCAGAACGGCAAGAGAGTTCATTTTAATTGCTCACGGTGATATGAATAGCTTTTCGTCTTTGATCTTGTTTTACTATTTTATGGATGAAGATTATCTGGTTTGTTTTGTTGATTGGCACTTGAGTCGTGAGTACATGTTTCATAAAGAATGACCAATGTTGGATGAAGTTTTAATAGGGAACCAAGCTTTACACAGTTGATTATCTATGATTTAATTGCAAACCCTTGTAGCAAAAATGGCAGGGAACTAGAGTCCCGGGGTTCTTTTTGCAGTTATGCTTTTATGCTACACATTTGTTGTGTGATGGCATTAGCTGGGTTTCTGGTCTACTGGAATTTACGGGTATTCAATGTTTTCAGTTCCGAGAGACGACATTGAATGCTAGTGAAGAATATGTATGTTATTTTCTACTGGTAGATTTATGTTTAGCTGATCCTATGATGTTATAATTGCAGCACTGTTGGTTGTCAATTTGGTGAGAGCTGCCATTTTCTGCACTATGTTCCTGGAGGTTACAATGCAGTGGCTCAGATGATGAACCTTGCACCAGCTGCTCCACCGGCTTCAAGAAACATCTCAGCAACGACTGCCATCCCACAGGGATCTGCCTCTGCAGTCAAAACTCGCTTGTGCAACAAATTTACTAGTCCCGAAGGTTGCAAGTTTGATGACAAATGTCATTTTGCACATGGAGAATGGGAACTTGGCATGCCTATTGCTCCATCACATGATGATCCCCGTGTCATGGTACCTATTTCTGGTCGTATGGGCAGTCGGATGGAGCCACAGCCCCCATCCGGTCTTGCTGCTACCTTCGGGGCTTCAGCAACTGCAAAAATTAGTGTGGATGTTTCCCTAGCAGGAGCTATCATAGGGAAGGGTGGTGTGCACACCAAGCAGATATGCCGTCAAACTGGAGCAAAACTTTCTATCCGGGAGCATGAGTCAGACCCTAGCCTTAGGAACATCGAGCTCGAAGGATCATTCGAACAAATAAAAGAGGCCAGTGCGATGGTTAGAGAATTAATCAGCAGCCTAGGTCTGGTGCCAGATCCTGCCATAACACCTGGTGTGCAGAAGAGTGGTCAAGGACATCCAGGAAGCAACTACAAAACTAAGTTGTGCGACAATTTCGCAAAAGGAAGTTGCACTTTCGGAGAAAGATGTCACTTTGCACACGGTGCAGCCGAGTTGCGGAAGTCATTAGTGTGAGGTCTTACTAGTGCATTCCAAGTAGTTGATAAGCAGTCTTTTTATCAGTTAGAGCCTTGATTAATATGCTAGCTGTGCAATACTATCTAGTTGCAGTTATATGAGCCGTGTTTTGGCTTTACTTTCTTTTTAATACCATATATTTTATGGTTGTCAAGTTGTAATTTTCCCTTTTCCGTGTCTCTAATGTGGTTCTGTAAGCTTGGAGGATATAATGATTTTCCCTTTCTGGTTGGTAGGGCAAATAATTAAAATCATTTTGTTACACATTCAAGTATTCGGGTCTTCTTTACTTTACTAGACATGTTTGCTATTTACATTGCATCCATAGTTTAGGTAATTGCCATAAAAGGAAATGCATCCTAATTTTGATGTATTCTTTCTTAAAATTATTTTAATAGCTTAGGGACCTATCTAGAAGTTTGGTTAATATGCCAGGTAGTATATCATATTCATTTAACTATATTCAGAAGATTGTTTTAATACTGAATCTTTTGAATTTATATAATGATCATTTAATTTATTAATATGTTACAAAAGTTTGTAAAATTTATCGAATTTTATGATTAAATTTATTGAATATTTTTTTTGAAAATTTATTGAATCTTTTATCATTATTATACTAACATAGGGGTCATTTTGACATAATTTAATATATAATAAAAGTTTTCTAATTATTAAAATTTCAATAACCAAGATAATTATTTAGCATGGTGTTTTTTTGTTAATCTAGACCGGCCCGAGTTGTACACCTAAATTAGGCTAGTGAGTCTCCCAACGAAGATTTTCTACATACACAAAAACTCGAACTAGAGACATGATTAATCGATACAAGTTGCTTACCACTTAAACCAATGATAGATAATCTTAAACATTATTATAATGATTTGTGTATATTACTTCAATTAATGATATGTGCAAAATGAAAAAAATGATAATCTCAATCATCATTTTGTACTCCTTCAATGATCTTAAATTAATATAAAACTAATATTTTTTTATACTTTATATTATACATGGATCATGTTTCGCACGCTCACACAATAATTATTATAATTATAACTCCTTTATTTTGTTAAAATTAAATATGTACATATAGAATTTTTAGTGTTATACGAAAAAGTGTAGGAGTCTTTCTCGTAGAAACTTCAAAAAAGATGAAAATTTGATTTTAGTGTTAAATCTTCCTTGGTGGTCGAACAAAATTTTATAATCACGCCAGCCTCTATTCTTTTAACTGCAATTTGTGTCCCAGCATCTGGTTCCCCTCTATAAACTACACCGAAGCCACCACGGCCAAGCTCGTTTTCGGATGCAAAATTTTTGGTTACATTACGAGGAACTTGAACTGATATGACCAAGTTTCCAGCTTCAATGATACGGGACTCCCCAATGCAGCTACTGTTACTTCATGCAGAACCACTCCCGGTTAGCACAGAAGTGCTTCCATTACTCGCAACAACAACCTTAACCACATTGTCTGAATCTGACAGATCCCTAGGGTGAACCACGAGGGAAGGAACCAACTTACTGTCTTGTCTCTTCATTACAACAGTAGAGAGATAGAGGAACAACCAGGAAGGCAAGAACCGCAAAACTCGCAACTGGTGCAACGATTGAATCAAATGTGTTCCGTTTGAAACCTTTTGTTCCCGTTGAGTCCACAGAAGAATCAGTTGGACTAGAACCTGAACCTTTTAATGAAGTAGATTGACTATCGGTCGGAGAATCCAAATTCTTGGATAATGCAGTCCCCGGTGGTGGAAGGGGCCTTCTTATCTCCATTCAATAAAGGATTACCAGCTAGTACTAGCTTCACAGTGCTACTGAACTCCGGTAACGGACCTGATATATTATTGTCACTAAAATCCAAAGTTTCCAGAGCTTTCAAGCTCGTCCAATTATTCGGAATAGAGCCCCTTAGATTGTTAGCTTGTAGCCTAATTTGAGAAAGGGAATCCAACTTCGCAACGGAAGGACTCAAAGTACCAGAGAGATTATAATGGGGCAAGTTCAGGATTGAAACTTTCCCACCATTACATGCAATTCCCACCCAAATGCAAGGCTCATTGTCAGACCAGGAAGAAACAAGTATGGAAGGGTAATTCAGTCCATCTAGAAACTCTATAAGTGCCATAACTTCTGAGGAACAAAGAAACCCCTCACTGGCTTAACAAAACTTATTTGAAGCAAAAGTTACATTTGAGGCTTTAAAAATTGGAATTGGACCCATAAACTGATTATTGTTTAAATCAAAGGTTTCCAATCTCATATTTGTTAAACTACTAGGAATCAAACCAACAAGGTTATTTCCATTAAGACTGAGATCTTTCAAGAGAGTTAAGTTACCAATATTGTCTGGAATTGGTCCAGTGAAGTGATTCCCATGGAGCCATAGAACTGTGAGGGACTCCATTGTTGCCACCATATCAATTGGTCCAGTGAATTGATTCCCATTCAGTCAAAGCATCTGTAAAGAACTGCCATTGAAGGTCCTTGATATTTCACCAGACAAACTATTACCAGAAAGCTTCATGTTTGTCAAGGAAGGCATGGAACCAAGAAAATCTGGCAATGAACCCTTCAAATTACAACTCATAAAAGAAAAGTTAGTCAATTGAGCTGAGTTTTGTAAAGTCTTGGAAAATGGCCATCCATTTGTGGCATTAAAATTGTTGTGATCTAATGCCAACACTTCCAAATCATCTAAACCATCAAAGAAATCTGATGGAATTGAATCAAAACTGTTATAATCCAAATAAGCATACTGCAAACTGGATAAGCCTCTAAAAGATGGAAGCTTTCCACTCAACTGGTTTCTTTGGAGACCAATGTTGTTGAGCATGGAGAGCTTGCTCAAGTTTTGTGGCAAAGTGCCCTTCAAGCCCAGACCTTGAGCCTGAATCTGAGTGACCCGGAACTCATCATCACCGTACACATGGCTCCAGCTTGGAGGACCACAAGGGTCATCACCAGTTTCAGGCCACTTCAAGAGGTCAGGATTCTCAAGTCCATCTCTGAATTGCATTAAAACATCAAGGTCACCCGGGTCAGCGACGCTAAAAACCACTGTAACAAGAGATAAAAGAAGCACTGAACCAAACTTGTTTCTCATGGAAGGTGTTTGAAGCTGCATTGAACCGGATCACCTCAAACTACTGTCAAAGAAGCTTCATTTGAGAACCAATGGCGGTTTCTTAAAATATTGCATCAAACAGATTAAAAGAACATATTTTAGATTCCAGAAATGCTGGGGAGACAATGAAGAAACGCAAGAATAGTTGGAAACAAGCAAAAACAAAACAAAACAAAAAGGTTTAGGAGATTTAGGGGAACAAGGCCAGTTCTTTGAGATGAAAACAACACAAATTATTGAATCAAGGGTGAAGCATTGGAGGCAAACTGAAAGAGAGAGAAAAATGGAAGAAATGAAACTTAAAGTGAATTTCTGAAGATATAAACACAAATATCATAATCAAGATTCTCAAAAAGAATTTATAAATTGACACACATGTAATCAGACATTTCCTTTCCAAACAGAATGTGACGTGAAGGTGTCATCATTTATTTTTTGGGTTCACCGTATCATTAATTGATTAATTTTTGGTTTAATACATTTTAAATTATCTAAATTATACCTCAAACTGATTTTTAATACTTAAAGAAACTTTCCTTAAAAATAGTTACCTAACGTTTTTTTCATAATTAAGTTGTTTTCTCGTTATACTGAATCGGACTTGAATCGTTTTGATTTGAACTGACATCGATATGAATTGGAATTAACCTGATCCGAATCTAAATTGAATATGATATCAAATTAACCTGAAAATTATTCAAACTGATTTGATCTGAACTAGACCTAATCCGAATCGAACCATCAAATTAACCTAATACTATCTATATCCGATTTGACTTGAACTTAACTCACGTCACCACAGCACACCACAGCACCAAGTTATCTTTGTTATCATGCATGTATAAAATATGAAGCCCCGTCAACTCTAAACCACAAAAACTTACCTGGGGGACTCAACCACAAAAGGCTACAGCACATTCCCCAGAGGAGTCGACCATTCTCTAGCATATTCTTTGGTTCTTACCAAACCCAACCCGACCCAATCAACACACGCCACCTCTTAATTCCACGTGACATCCACTCTCCAACGTGGCACGCCAACTGTCTCCCCCTCTTACCTTCCTTGTTCTTCACCACCATAAACCTTAGCCGTTAGCTAATTCCCCCATCTCTGCGAAGAGTGAATCCCCGAAAGTTTTAAATTCAAAAGAATTCCCTGTTAACGGATTTATTGAAAACCCTAGCTGAATTTACGCGCCATGGAAAAGGGATCTTCATCTACTGCTTTCTCCTTCATTTCCAAAGGTTGGAGAGAGGTTCGTGACTCCGCCGACGCCGATTTGCAGCTCATGAAAGACCGAGCCAACTCCTTCAAGAATCTCGCCGGAAATCGATTTCATGAAGAAGCTGCAGCCTAAGATATCGGAGTTTCGCAGGGTTTATTCCGCTCCCGAGATTAGCCGGAAAGTGATGGAGAAATGGGGACCGAGGGCGAAGTTGGGGATAGACTTATCAAGGATAAGGAGCGCCATCGTGGCGGAGTTGGAGGAGACCGATGAGGAGGATATGTATGGAATTATGGAATTCAATAAGTTTAGGAAAGGTAGGACTTTTGGGGATTGGGATCCAATTCGGGCGTTGAAGACCAGGTTAAGAGAGTTTGAGAAGAAAAAAATTTCGGTGGATTTAAGAATAGTGAGTTTGTTGAGAAAGTTAAGTCCAGTTTGGTAAGCTCCGTTCTTTTCCCCTGCCTTTTCCCCAGTTATTGGGAAAGCTTTTCTTTTCATAATTGTATTGACGTGCTAATTAGTTTAAGACTACTGTTATGGTTTGGACTTTGGAACGGTGTAAATTTGATGGACGGATGTATAACTACCATCAGCTTCAATTCTTTTGTGTTGGGTTTATGCTTTTTAGTTCCAGAATCATCTTTATTGATTTAGTTTGAAAGTAGGGGATTTTGATGAATACAGAGTGGCCAGTGTAGTTGGAAACTTCAAGTGCTTAGGATACTGAAATTTCTGTATTAGACCAATCTTTTAGAACAATCATAAGCTCATTCGAGTTCTTAAGTTGCTTGAAATTGTACCTTAGAAAAAGAATTTAAAGGATCTTGGAATACTCATTCTCTTACCAATGAAGGGGTTAGTTGTTTCT